TGTTCGTAAAGGAAAATAATAATATTTTAAAACAATTCCAGTTTGAGTGTTTGGTATCTTAGCCACATGTCTGTATAGTCTTTATTTGATCATAAGAATTTTTTAAGTCATGAACACCTTCCTTTCTCGGTAACTCATTTGCACTTATTTTATTAATGACATGTAGTAGAGATTCTGCATGGTATAATACCTCTTTAACTCCTTCATTATAATGAAACATCAGTTCTTTAGGGTTGGAGAAAGACCTTAAAAACCAGTCCCATTTGTAAACTTACTTTACAAGGGCTTATTATAATGATTATATTCTTTATTTCTCTAGTTATAATCGCTGGTTATGTCAAGCAAGATCCGAGGATCTGTCTGATATTGCTTCTCTAAAAGCCTTATACCAAACAGGTGAGCTTAAGGGTATGGTAACTTATTCTTTTACTAATTAAGGACCCTACCCAGCATGCTGTTTGAGACTTCATTTTTCTCTGGTTTCATCCACTCTGTGTATAAATAAAATGTCTTTGTACTAATGCAGATAGTTTTTGCATCATCAAGATCTTAAAAAAAAAACTCAACCTATGAAATTTTCAACTTATAGTTCTACATTGGCCAACTTCACTTCCTCCTAGTGTCCTTTTTCTTTTTTAAAAAAAGTCTGCTTTTAAAAGTACTATATATTTGCTACTACAAAATTCAAACCTTATATAAATACATAATGGAGACAATGAAAATTTCCAGATTCCCACTCTTTCTCCATTCTATTTCTTTTTCAGACAGTACTTTTTGTACATTTCAGTAATTTTCAGATTTGAGTGTTATTTATTTTTTTCCTGGATAATTAACATTATTAAAAGTCGTAGTAAGCTAAGCAAAAAGCTATTTATGAGAAGATCTTTGGCTGTCCCTGATTTACCTTTGCCTATTCCTGATTTAAAATCATGAAGAGGCCTTAAGAGTCGGGGCAAAGATCAAAACGTTATGAAGCTTTAAAAAGAGTGTTGTTTCCTACACAGTAAAAAA